CCTGGGGGCTTTTTGTTATGTACACTACCGGTAGTTGTGAATTTGGATAGAAGTTTCCTCAAATATTTTCTACAGATAGGACGATTCGGTTGATTGACGTGGTACTTTTCTACCAGTAAAACCGATAATTAAACGAGAATATTTTAACTGAACAATGATGTTCATTTTTGTTTTTATAAACAGAAAATAACTCAACAAACCTTATCGGGTTGCTGAAATTGCCATATGGCAGATAAAAAGGAATATTTCTAGAAAGCTCGATATTAATGTGTTTGCCTTCAGGGAATTATTAAATGTTCCGCCATTTTGTAGTAGGTGAACATATTGACTTCATATTATAGGGTTGTGAAGTATTCGTCAGGAGCTTCAAAATGATGTGTCACAAGATCCCCCTTTCCATTTAATTTTTTTCCCAGATAGCGCCCAGTCGCCATTTTGAAAGTTTCATCTGTCAATTTCACTTCAAAATAAAGTATTCATGCATTAATTTCATTATTCCAAATTTCAATCTTTTGAGTTGACCCGTTCAAAAAATAAAAGTGGGGGGACATCAAAGAAATGCATTGTATATTGCCCCACAGAAGAGCTAACATCCTGATCTCAATATAATAAGTGACGTCCAAAGAGACCTTATCGATCAAGAAATTCTATATGAGCTAGATAAATCCGTCATCATGGGAGAAAATAGTAGGAGCATCTCTCAAAGGCTCAATAGAAATAGTAATATGAACGTTACCGTATTACCGTAATCAAAACAAGGATAACCACGTGCAGCGTGAGACACCATTCGTATGCACTCACTCTGGTCACAAAACTCTCGACTGCAAGAGCTTCCATAAAATAACGCATGCCTGAACGCAAAAAATGACATAAACCTAAGGAATACGAGGATTGAAGCATACTGTCAAACTTGTGACTAATCAGGTCATAGGCAGACATGAACAAGATGTCCTAGATATCGTCATATAATGAAAAATGCGAGTGAGAGGGAAATGAATCATGGTAATACAAATACACTTAGATGTGCAGCTCCTTATCCAACTGTGTTCAACATCAGCCAACAAAAATACTGATCTACTACTTGTATATAAACCCAATGTTTCAACCAGCTCAGAAAAGCAATTGTTTAAGGGACATTAACAAACATGTATAAATTCAATTACCAAGAAACATCTTGAGTGTTAGACAAAAGCTGGATATTGATTCAAGAATTCGATCTTGAAATCAGGAAAGTTCAATCGGTTGATTGGTGATGATTGGATGTCTTCTATTGATGGCTGATTTGTGTCACATCGATATGTTTAAGGAGTTTTAGATATTTTACAGAAGTATATTTTCTTTTCTTGGAGGTTTTTTCAATTGGATCGGTCTTTAACACTTCATTGCTGTTTTTTGGCAAGAAGAATGGTTTTCCAAAATTTGATATTCGGTGGTTTTCGAATTAATATTGTTTGAATTCAAAACTGCAATTGGTTGAAATTCGATAGGAAAGTACTGTGAAGAATTGGTCTTCTAGGATTTTATTTGGTCTGGGATGATTCCGAACAGATAGTTCTCGTTAATTTTGTTGAATATTTGTGTGGATGGTTTTATCGATATGAGGTATATCCTTGTCCTGAATAGGCACAATCACACAGTCTTCTTCTGGGTGGAAGTCTTAAGTTTTCTTGATTGCAGAGGTACGTATCCAAAATGTGTGTACAAAGTTGGTCCATATATTGCAAAATTTTTTCTCTGAGAGCCAAGTGAGGTTTTTTGAATGACAGTGGTATTGGTCATCGTTGGGACAGAAAACACATGGAAATATTGAAAGGTTTTAGGGTAAATATGGGAAATTCAATGGCAAAGATTATTTTATTTTTCAAAAAATAAGAGTTTGTTCGAAAAACTGAGAACCATGAATGACTATCTAACTGAAACATTTCATTACGACTATAGTGAATAATTATTTCCAAATTTTGACTTGTTAAAATATCGGCACGAACTGGTAATTTTGTGAAAGTGATTGCGTTTTCGATATTATCAAGAAAGCTGCATCGATTATTCGTTTGAAAAAAGACATTTATGAATTTACCTCCTTCATAATTTTTTGTTAATTGCTTTACAAAATATCAATTGTTATATATCGGTCACTATCGAATGAGCAAGCCATTTTTGAAGTGATCCTCCAACATTTATTGTCCCTCGTTTCATTTAATTATGGGTATATGTCAAATTTCTAAAATTTGTGGTTTCAAATTTTCGTATTTGCCAAACTTTTATACTACATCTGTTAGTTATTGTTGGAGAACTCGTTTGAATTATAACATTTTTTATTTCAAGTTCAACAATACTCGAATCAATGTCATTAAAGAAAATGTGTTTATTTGTTACAGTTTTAAAGAAAATTTAAATGGAAGGATTGCGGGAGCAGGACTTGAGTGTTATATCAATTTCTGGATTGTTTTTGATCATTGCTATTACCGTCAGTATATTCAGGAATATCAGGTTTTTCATTTTCAGACTATAAAAAAGGTACCTTTCTGATTCAGTTCATGAGAATTATTTCAACCTGTCCTTTTTTATTTTTGCTTTGTTTTCAATATTCGACCCTTCACTGCAACCCGCGAGGGTTTATTGTGGCTCCCACCTATTCAAACTCGACTAAATAAATCCAGTACTTGTGATGCACTGTTTGGAACCTTTGATGTATTAATGAATATAACTGGAGTTTTATCTCAACACCAAACCGTTATTTCAACATCTCGACACGTGTTTCGATCACCAAGTGATCATCTTTAAGAGTTTAATCTTCCTCTTGAATATGGTCTCTTGGTGATCGAAATACGTGTCGAGGTGTTGAAATAACGGTTTGGTGTTGGGATAAAACTCCAATAATATTCAAATAAATCCAGCTTCTTAACGAAGTCGATTAATTCATTTGGTCTGAATTATTTTTCAGGTCAAATGGCCAGAGTGGGACTCTGTCAAACGGTTCAAGTCTAACCCGATCCGCGGCAACCTCCTACTTGGGGGTATCTGTAAGTCAGCTATACCTGACGATACATTAGATTCAGCTATGATGGTTTCGGTGATTCATTGTTTGAGCTTGAGCGTTTGCTGACCTGATCTGCAGATTCTAATTTTGATGCTTAAGAATTTGGTACAATGTTCAATACAGATTCATAAGATATCTTGCCCATATCTTACAAAATGTTGTTGAGACCGGTTATGGTTTATTTTTGATACCTGACAATTGAGTTTGAAAACGTTAGGAGGTGTATCAAAAACTTGTTGATTAGTAAAACATTTTGGAGGAGGCATATATTGTCTTGGCTGTATGATAATAGATTGAGATGGAAGTTGATTCATTCAATTTTGAGCATGTGTTTTTTTGTGAATATTGGCTATTGAAAATTTTGCACTGGAATTCGCCAAAAATTTGGTTTTGGTAATAAACGAACTAAAATGTTAGTTATAATAGTCTGAATTTCGTAGCCTTGTATTTTGTCAGCCGAACCACGAATAAAAATTTGTAATGTTCATTCTTCCACACCTAGGTTCATTGAAACTAATTTTGAAATAATTTTGCTTCTACTTTTCTGAATTAATTTTCCCAATAAGAAGAAATTTTCATTTTGATAATGATAATTTCTCGAACAAGAACATTTCCTGATAACTTTACAATTATAGCTCCGATTAAAAACTGTTTAATGGAATTGTCAACATATTTGAGCATTTTTATAGGAAGAAATCAAATATTCACAATTTATAATAAAAACTTCTGAAGTACTTTCATTATCGTCGTTAAAAATGGAATAGTATCGATAATATAAATAATTGAAAACCTTTCCTTGAAAATTCGTCATGACTGTAAATAAAACTTGTAAGGTACTGTTTTTATTATTAATAATATTTTCTTGGAAATCTATATTTGTTTCCATTCTTTTTTTACATGATAATTATGTTTTAGATTATCATTTTCATTAATACCTAATTCTGTACTTATCCCTAAACTGAAAATGATATGCACTGATTCAACTTCGCCAAAGAATACAAATAAAAGGAGAGGAAAAATGGATGGCTCACCTATTCCTGTTTTTTGTCCACTTCCACTTTGGTGTCGTTTTTCTGGGCCTCGGCTTGTTCTCCAAATTTTTCGGTTTCTCATCTGTTAAGAGTAGAAACTCATAAACAAATTCACGATGAGACGGTTTTGAACAATCCTAACAAGTTTTTCATTTATATCTGACTAGCCACCCCAATTTTTATTTGGTTGGAGAAGTATCACTTTTTTTTCCAATAGAGAAAAATAAATGCAGTCTTGGGTTCAAGTTATAAGTAATTTGATATGATAATTGCTAAATTTATATATTTTTTTGTTGACGCATATGTCTTGAGTTAAAATACTTCCCATACAATGACATTGTATGAGTAATTATTTTCGGCCTTTACGATATGCTTCCCCGCTATGAAATATAGCTTAACAATTCGGATGTGTTGTTTGTTTTGTGGTTAGTCTGTGTTCATTAGTGAATTATGTTTTGTGGATTTATTGTTTTCACTTGAATATCTGTATTCTAAGTGATAAATTTAGTGAAAACTAGTAGGTTTTGTTTGCTTTATTATTTGTACCAGTTTCTACCCATGACTTTGTCTGTGTGGACTTCAGAGTTGGGTCCAGAAAAAAAGGAAAAAATATAATTTGATGAAAAATTTCATTTATATTGTTTGTTGACGCATATATTTTAGGTATATATACTTGTATATTGAATGATTTATACTTTTGCGTTGTTTACGATATTCCACTCATCTTCATTACGGAATTTCCCTAACTATTCGGATTATCTTATTTGTTTTATGGTTTTGTTTGTTGGTGAATTATGATATACTTTTTTTTGGGAAAGAAAGTTTTTGGCTTTCTACTACTCCATCTGATACAAAAAAAGGGATGAGAGAATCTTCCAAAGAAAGGAAGGAAGTAATCATGTAAGAAGAAATTCATAAACTCACACACTCACCATTGTTTGAATGTTTCAGACTTGGTATCGACTGTCTAGTGGGATTCTGCAAAAAAAAATGATTTGAACAATTTATAGATGAAACAAATAGCAATGAAAAACTCTCAAAGAAACCACTTTGAGAAAATGATTTCTGAAACAATTATCCACGAGTACTCTCAACAGAGTGTTATAAAGGTTTTACAATTTTTTTGAATGAAAAGGTTCTATCGGTCACATTCTTTCCCCACTCCAACCCATTTGAAGGGTGCGTAATCAATGCCCACTCCCTACACCGTGAGATAAGTGATTACTTGTTTCGAGAATCCATAGCAAAAGAGATCAATGGGTTATAATACACTGTGACCCATTTAAAATGGAACCACCCCTGTAGCATGTGCATTTTTTAATCAATCTCAATTTTTTTTATTGAAATATTAAGCATGAAAAACTGTATCTTGACACTAACTTTCACAATTTTAGTTTCATTTCCAAGGCACTCTATGGTTTTTTTTGTTTGTCAAAAACGGCAAAAGTTTATTAGGCAATTTTTGTTTTCAAATTTGACTACACCACTGGATTCGTAGTCGTTATAAATCAAAACTGTCAAATTTTCATTAAAAAATATTTGTTAACAACGAAGTTACAACAACTTCAATTTTGGAAACAAAGTATTTGTTTGTAATTTTTATTCAGATTATAGACATATTTGAGATCTGACAACACTGTCATCACCAAGTAGAACACCAGTGAATTTGTACAGTGAAAATCCGAAGTCAACAGCTCAATGCGTTCTACAGTTATAACTCCTGAAAATATGGTAATGTGAGAGATTTGTGGTGCAAGCGTTTTGTAATAAAAATCTGACTACG